ACAATCATCACAATTCATAATTGCATTTACATTTTTGGGGGAGAGGGATTGTCTATTTTTACTTCCTAGTGCACATTGGCTATCCAACAATTAAAGCTCAATGCTTGGGATTAGACATTGAAATACCTCATTGAAAAACTGCTCAGTAAACTGTTTCAAAAAATTGAAGTGGAAAGCAAACTTCCAGACTCTTTTTATGAAGCCAGCATTACCCTGATCGCCAAACCAGGAAAAGACCCCACCAAAAAGGAGAATTTCAGACCAATATCCCTGATGAATATGGATGCTAAGATTCTCAACAAGATCCTAGCAAATAGGATCCAACAGCACATTAAAAAGATTATCCACCATGACAAGCTGGGATTCATCCCTGGGTTTCAAGGATGGTTCAACATTCTCAAATCAATCAATGTGATAGAACAAATCAATAAGAGATGAGAGAAGAATCATATGGTCCTCTCAATTGATGCAGAAAAAGCATTTGACAAAATCCAGCATCCGTTCCTGATTAAAATGCTTCAAAGTATAGGGATAGAGGGAACATTCCTCAACTTCATAAAATCTATGAAAAACCCACAGCAAATATCCTCAATGGGAAAAAGCTCACAGACTTCCTGTTGAGATCAGGACCACGACAAGGATGCCCACTCTCACCACTCTTGTTCAACATAGTATTAGAAGTCCTAGCAACAGCAATCAGACAACAAAGAGAAATAAAAGGTATCCAATTTGGCAATGGAGAAGTCAAACTCTCTCTTTTTGCAGATGACATGATACTTTATATGGAAAACCCAAAAGACTCCACCCCCAAACTACTAGCACTCATACCCCAATTCAGTAATGTGGCAGGATACAAAGTCAAGGCACAGAAGGAAAAACAAAAAAAGGAAAGAAAAAGTGCTCAGTTTACCAAGGGTGTGGAATTTTTTCTCAACTCCTTTCCTGATATACGAGATTATCATATAAATTTAGTTACAATGCAGAGTCCTTTACGCCGGCTGCAGTTTCCACTTAAGAATTCTCAACAATTGGGGCGCCTGTATGCCTTAGTTAACTAACTGTTGGACTCTTGGTTTTGGCTCAGGTTGTGGGATGGAGTCTTGGACTGCACTGTTCTCAGCATGGATTCTCTCCCTCTGCCCAGCATCCCCCCCACCCTGCACTCTCTCAAATAAATAAATAAAATCTTAAAAAACAAACAAACAAACAAAAACTTAAAAAATTTTTTAAACCACTAGGGGCACCTGGGTGGCTCAATTGGAAGGCAGCTATGCTCACCACTATACCACCAATGCCTGGGTGGCTCAGTTGGTTGAGCCGACCAGCTTTTGGTTTTGGTTCAGGTCCATGGTCTTGGGGTCCTGGGATCAAGCCCTGCCTGGAGCCCTGCATGGAGCCCTATGCCCCTGCCCCTTCTACAGTAAATAAATCTTAAAAAAAAAAAAAAAAAAAAAAAAAAAGAACTCGTAAACCATTAGGTAATTATGCTTCAGGTTCTAAAATCTCCCATACGTTACTATTCTTTGCAGTGCCTCCTTTCTGTCCAATTCCTAGTTTCTGCTTTTATTACACTGTCCCCACAAGATTGATTTATAAGTATTTACTTGGACCAAAATCTCAAGGTTGAGGAAAGTTCTATAAGGAAGTAAATCACTTCTACAAAAATTTTGTATAAGAATCACTTTAGTTTAAAAAGGATTGTTTTTATCCGCTACATTATGAGGTAAATAAGGCTTCACGACTTGCCTTGAGTTCACTGAAAAATGCCTCCTCCATGAATATATTTGTAAACAAATTTTTGGAACACAAACTATCAAACACATGTGTAGCACATGGCTATTTCAATTTTTAGTTGACAGCTTTTAACAGTTCTCTATTTATCATTTCATGAAACATAGTAAGTTACTAAGATTAATAATTGTTTTCATTCTTAAAGATTTTCAACAGTTTCACATCTAAATTTTTGCACAATTTTTGAGACCTTTATTTCTAGTTTTGTTTTTTTAACCTGTCAAATCAGCATGTCCCAAAATTCTTGAGGTAAAGACTAGATGTTTTAACCCATTTTTAAGTAAGTTATTTTTCTAAAAATGGCATATATTTCTTTCCCCTTCAGAACTAGTATGAACTAGATGAATGCAATAGTGAGAATACTTTTTTTTAAAAGAATTTATTTATTTGACAGAGACACAGCGAGAGAGGGAACACAAGGAGGGGGAGTGGAAGAAGGAGAAGCAGGCTTCCCACGGAGCCCCCCCCCCCCCCCAAATGCGGGGCTTGATCCCAGGACCCTGGGATCATGACCTGAGCCAAAGGCAGACACTTAACAACTGAACCACCCAGGTGCCCCGAGAATAAAATTCTTAAGGAATAAATACATGAGTCCCGAATGCCTATGTTTGGTAAATAATTTTGTATAACAACAGATGCTTTGGAAGGAGGGCTTAGAGTGTGGTAGTTTTGAATCAATACAGAGGTCTCATTTGACTCATTAAATAAACAACTCCACATAGCTAATACCATTTAAATTACCAATACAGAATTTCAAAGGGAAGTAGGGGGTGGGGGGGGATTAAAATTAAGATGTTGGTTGTCCATTATTTCATTTTATAATGGATGCCCCAATTTTTAAACACACGGTAGTACTGGATATTGTTGAAGTAACAACACTACTATATTTAGAAATAATCTTAATTTCATTATCTGCACAATTTTTCTTATATTTCAAAATATCTCATATGTATATGAAAAAATATATATGAAAAGTTCATCTTCAGGAAGAGAATAATTTACACTTTTAGCTTTCAAAATTACTAAAATGGCCTATAAAAAACAGGAAAAACAATACTTAAAAAAAAGGCAAATATTCTGAAATTAAAACTTCATTTTTCATTTGTATGACTTCAACTTTGTAACACCAAAATGGAAATGGCATGTGTATGTATAAGTATGAGCCACTTATATCTACACTACCCACCCCAAAAGAACAGAGAAAGTACAACAATGTTATAAAACAAGGTTTATTCTGCAATACTTTATCATAATGAATTGCATCTCTTTGGTAAAAATAAACTTTATAAACATTTTAATAATCAGAGATTAGATACAAAAACTAAATATCTGTTAGGTTGCTTTTAATATAAGCGAAGACCGGCAACTGAGAAGTGGTTCACTTGTGACTGGTCATCTACTGGCAGTTGTAACTCAAACTCAGGGCAATTTTTATGCTACATTAGAAAAGAGGATAAGGAAACCAGTTTAATAACTCAAATTTCTTGAATCAGGAAGCATTACACTTTCATTTAAAAATAAATAATAGTTACAGTGAATTTGGCAATTATACATTTTTATACACTATATGATGGCAACATAATACTTTAAGCACTTACTTTAATAAGAAATGTACAACAATTTTAAAAACAAGTTTTGACAATGGCACTGGCAGTTAGATGCAAAAAAAAAATGTGCTTTAAGAAAAAAATGGCAGGTATAACATTAAAATACTCTACTTTGTCTTTCAATAAATATTTTGAGTACATCATTAACCTAGTGAAGTAAACTTTGTTTAAATCAAAGTTTACACATTTCAAACTAACAACAACAAAAAAACCTGTAAAGTATACGTAAATCAGAAAGCCTTTAATTAAATGCTATGGTCTTCACAAATGGTTGTTAAGTTACTGTAGTATTTAAGACAAAAGTCTTTATAGCTTTGTGAAGTATTCACATCTGTTGGTTAAATTGCTAGGAAAGGCCTCCTGGTCTATGGAGACACACACATTCCCTCAACGCTTTCTCTACCTTTGAATTCGTGCTTACATATATTTAACTGACCACCTAGTATGAACCCTTTACATAATGCCTCAGAAAGTAGCAAAAGAAAAAAAATATATATTCTAAACCTTATTATATACAGGGGAATCTATGTTAAGAGAAGTCATGCTGGCTCTAGGGAGAAAAGGAAAGGCTCAAAGGTGGAAAAAGGGAGGCAATCCACCAATAATTAGCTTTTCCATGAATACAAGTAATGTTTTCTTTCTCTGAATTTGAAAGGTAAAATAAAATATCAATTTAGTAATAATATTGCACAAATAAATTTCAAAAATCTATATTCAAGAAACACTGATTCTATTTGGGATGTGAAAGATGAAGATTAATTGTGCTGACTCAAAACTTTCACTAGATATCTATTATAAACTGGAATTGGCTGTAACAATTTGTATTGATGTAAGGCAAATTATGTTAGCTTAAATCACAGTCTTAAAATACGCTGGAACATATATAACCTCTCTGGGACTGCCAAACTGTTTCTATTACAGTATAATTTCTTGTTAATATATTATTAGAAATACAATTTCCAGTCCATAGGACTTGAAATGACTTTCCTTAATTGGGTGGTTATTAGCCATGTTTTTATCTCAACACACCTGAGGAATGGGATCATAATATCTACGGAAGTAATAATGGGGGAATCATAGTTAAAAAGCTACTTCCCCTTGAAAATAACTGCCTTGATAAATCAGCAAATGGAAAGTGATGCACTGAATTCTGTATAAGAATTGTGTAAAATATTATTATTTATATTAAATGAAAATAATTTTGAAGATCCCTCTTAAAGAGAGAACTCTCCCCCTCCTTATCTTAGAACATTTTCCTCTGCTTACGAAGAGTAATTATCTAATGGACAGGAACCAGAGAGAACATCTGTGGTACAGAATTTCAGTAGAACAAAATACACTGGAACCAGATCACTGAAACACACTTTTACTAAGGTCTATCCAAAGAGCCACTGTAAACAGCGTTAAGATATTGTTATTAAAGTGATTTTTATAATCTGTGTGCTGCTTTATAATCTGTGTGCTGGTATAAGCATTTTTTTGTGTGTGTTACAGTCACCGTCTACAGCAAAAGGTACTAACTTGGATTAGCCATTTTCTGTAGCAGATGTGACATGTATGAAGAAGGAAAAAAAAAAACCCCAAATACCTCATCCTGCATACTTAAGAACTATTTTTCATTATCAACAAATTTAAAAATTACTGTATTTCAACAGCACCGATACTATTAACATGGCTATCCAAGTTTAATTACAATGAACATGGAAACAGGACAGGTAATATTAATGTTGTTATCCCTGGCTTAAAGTTTTACCAATTGAAAAAGATGTTTTCCATTATGCTTCTCATTCAACAGTTTTGCTCAAATAAAATTTACAAATGAAAATAAAAGTATCTCTTAAAAAAAAATCCAAGAAAATGCTTTAGTCATAGAAACAGCTGAAGTAACCAACCCAAATCATGAGCCTATGTATCTATGTATGTATGTATGTATGTATATACGAAATTATCAGAAAAATGAAAACAAGGTCATTGTTATAAAACAGAATGTACCATAAGATAAGACTGAACTTTTGGAAAGTTGCTCCCACTACTGTAAAAATATATACATAATGAGTAAGTTTAGTTTTATTAGTATCCTGTGTTCTTTCTAAATAATAAAGTCAAACTATAAAAATGATATGGAAAAATGTCTCACAGAAGCAGATTTGTTCAAATACTTAAAAGCTTTAGTGCACCTTTGGAACAGCAATATAAAATCTTTTAGCATGGAATAAATGGCACATATATTATACTGCCTCCCCCAAAGCGTATACTGTATAAGATTTAATTGTATGTGAATTTTAAAACTCATGAAGGTACTTTGTCTCTATAGTTTTGTTAAATCCTTTTAAATTTAACTAGGAATACATACAGATTTAATTCATACAAACCTCGAACAGAAGCTTTTTCCTAAATGATCTATCTTTATTTAAAAGGACATAAGTAGTAACTATTCAAAATATTTCTATTAGATTACACTCCATTCCTACTACAAAATTCCCAGAATGCAGTCCATTTAACAACACATGAAAGATTCTCTTATTGCAAAAAGTGTGTCAAAATGGGTGCTAACCCTGTAACACACTTTATGGCTATATCCTCTCATTGGATTGTTTCCATTCAACAAAGACAGCTAGTGGCTAAAATTCAAACAATGGTTGCAAAGCACTTTGGGAACAAACAAAAGGCCCCAGTAAATGTTATGCAACATCTGGGAAGAAAAAAAAAATCAAAGATAATATTGTAATAGGAATTGGAGTGTTCTTAGATGAAATTTTACCATAAAACTGCCTTTTCTAAATTTTAGAACTCTTTGCTGTACTTCCTGCCTATGTAACCAAAAGGAGCTTTCTAGACATCTAGGACCTTTTCCAATTTATATTCAAGTATGTCCACGCTTCAACAAAAAATAATTAAAAACAAAAATTAAGACAAAATAAAAAATCCAAATCTCATTCTACTGGGTTGCATGTGTCCAGAGAGAAGTATGTGAGAAAGACATCAGCAACATTTTTGGCTGGATCAGCAACTATAGCTAATTACAAATGATTGGAAAAGAAAATGAGAAAAAGCTACAGAGTTGCCAATTCTTACACTTTAACATATTAATAATAAAAGATACTTCCTACAAGTTTTAAGACACAGGCTGTGGATTTTCCTATAAAAAATTTCCAAATTTTAAAGACACTTATCACAAAAATTATGCTTTTAGGGCTTGGCATCGTATCTATGGTTGGGCATGGTCCTAACAGCAATTATTTAATAAAGATTCAAACAAATGTTTTGAAATAAACAGGTAATTAGCACCCCTCCCCCACCCTAAACCAAAAGAAGTCCATTATGGCTTTGATATCCCTTGTAAAGAATTAAGTAGAAGAGTATTGCCACACTTGAAAATAATTTCACACTAATAAGTATTTCTATTTTTTCCGCTGCTTTTGATTTTGTGTCTTTGCAGTACTTATTAGGGAACCCAGACATGTACGGATTCCAGCAAGGTGGAGCAGAGATCCAGCTGCCTCTTTGAGCTCCTCATCAATTTCTTGACATAACTGTTTACGCATCTTTTTGCCTGGCTGCCCTTTTTCAGAGGTATCTGCACAAGCCTGTGATGCATAGCCACTGTCTCCAAGAGGATCATCTTCATAATCGACATCTGTATCTTCTTCACTGTGAAATCCTTCACTGCCATCACTTCCCACATGGCTGCTCTTTGGGATAAAATCATACGCCTCATCCACAGAGGACAGAGAAGACACGCTAGACCTGGATGCACAGCGCTGTGCTGCCATGCTACTTGCGCTGTAATTGTGGTCTTCTTTTGGATCAATGCTCGTGGCCAAAGAATCACTCTCTTGCAATCTCACAGTACTGGGATGATTAAATGCACTGCTGTGACTCCTCTTTTTTTGCATTGCTGTTTTAAGAGGAAGAGGCTTCTCACCTGTGGAAAAGAACACTTCCATCAATAGGTCAAATGCATTTGATTGCCAAGAATAGACCATTTAAACGAGTAGTGAGTGTTTTAGGGTTAGTAAAGTTCTGTAGGTTTTTGTTCACTTGTTTCTTTTTTTACTTAGACCATATGTATATGTATTAACTTGAAACATTTTAAAATCACTTAATGGTATGTCTTGACCTTTCCAGGAAAATTATAATTATTTTGAGCTGTTTGTAGAGAATGTCTCAATAAGAATGTACCACTGTTGAGCTAACCATTTTCTTATTGATATTTAGGTTTTCCCAAATTTTCACTATGAATAATATTGCAATGTGAATCCTTCTAGATGCCTCTTCTTACACATATGCAAATATTCTTCTAGAATAGCAAGAAACAGATTTATTAAGTAAAAGAATATATACATTTTAAATTGTAATTGGTATTATTTTTTAACAGAAGTATAGCTGACATACAATCTTACATTAGTTTTAGGAGTACAATATAGGGATTTGACGATTCTAAACATTATGTAAGTAAAGTCACCATACAAAGTTTTACAATATTATTGACTCTATTCCCTATGCTGTACTTTTCATCCCCCTGTGATTTATAACTGGAATTTTGTAACCTCTTAACTGCCTTCACTTATTTCACTTATACCTCCACCTTCCTTGCCCCTGGCAAGCACCAGTTTGTTCTCTTGTAAGTCTGTTTCTGTTCTTTCTTTCTTTCCTTCTTTCTTGATTTTACTTATTTGACAGAGCATGCACACACACACAAGTGTACAAACAGGAGTGGCAGGTTCCCCGCTGTGCAAAGAGCGTGACATGGGGCTCGATCCCAGGACTCTGGGATCATGCCCTGAGCCAAAGGTAGATGCTTAACTGACTGAGTCACCCAGGTGCCCATTTTTTTTGTTTTTAGGATTTTTATTAATTTGAGAGACAGAGAGGAGTGAGGGGAGGGGTGGAGGGGGAGGGAGAGGGACAAGCACACTCCACATGAGCATGGAGCCTACTCGGGGCTCAATCTAGGACCCCAAGATCATGACATGAGCTGAAACCAAGAGTCAGGCACGTAATGGACTGAGCCACCCAGGCATCTGCTTCTGTTTTTTGTTTGTTCATTTGTTTTGTTTTTTAGATTCCATATATGAGTGAAATCATATGCAGTTTGTCTTTCTCTGGCTTTCTTTCACTTGGCATAAAACTCTCTAGGTCCATTTATGTTGTCAAGAATGGCAAAATTTCATTCCTTTTTTATGGTGGAGTAATATTCCATTGTGTATATATATCACATTTTATCCATTCATCTATTGATGATGGACAGAGGTTGTTTGCTTCCATACCTTGGCTATGCAAATAACGCTGCAATAAACACAGCGGTGCAGGAATCCTTTCAAATTAAGTGTTTGTTTTTTCAGGTAAATACCCAGATGTGGAATTACAGGATGGTATGGTACTTCTATTTTCAGTTTTTTGAGGAATCTCCATCCTGTTTTTCATAGTGGCTGCACCTACTTGCATTCCCATCAATAGCAGGTTCCCTTTTTCTCTATGTTCTCATCAACACTTGTTATTTCTTATCTTTTTGATACTAGACATTCTAATTAGTAGGAGATTTCGCTGTGGTTGATTTGTATTTATAGCTGGTATTTTCAAATTGTGCTCCAAAATGGTTGTACTAAATTTACATCCTACAGTGTTCGACAATATCCAGTTCTCACAATTAAAACCTAGTATTGTCATTTTAATTTTTCATAATCTCATGGACAAAAAAAAGTAGTATCTCAATATTGTTTCATTTGGCATTTCCCTGTCTTCTAGAGAAGTTGCATATCTTTTCAAATGTGTGTTGTCCACTTTATTTCCTTCCCTGAGACTCGCCTAATTCATATATTGGCTTTTCTGAATATTTTTCTTATTTCTTACTTGTAGAGTCCTTTTACATATACTCAATATTAACCCTTTGTTTATCATATACATAGTAAAAAAAATGTTCTCTCAAGTGTTTTCCTTGTGTGACTTTTCTTAAGAATACCTTTTGTTGTGAGAACTACAGAATTTTGATGTTTAAATTTACCCATGTTTTCTTTTATGGATTTTGCACTTAGTATCTAAAGGTTTTCCAATTCCAAGGTTATAAATATACTTTCTTATATTTTGTTATTTATAACTTTCATTTTTACTTTTAAATTCTCAACTTTAATTTCTACACATGCTATTTATTTCCTTGTTTCCTGGTCCATGTAAAAATATCACAGTATTAACTTCAATCTCATAACTGCTCACATATATTAATGGAAATACAATAAAATGGAAACTAAGTAATTCAAATGAAAACACAATTTAGTTAGAAAAAACAATTCTGCCTATAACATTTAAATATTTTACATTCTAAATTACATTTGAAAAAGCACTCACAAAAATGTATTTTAGGAAGAATGGCATGATTGCTTACATTCTAAAATTCCTTGTTCTATAGAAGTATTTAAAAGCATCATTGCAGTGGCAGCATCAATATCAGATTCTGAAAAAGGAAGAGAGTAACAATATTAATGTTCTTTATAAAAGAGAGGCTATTATAAGTATTTGTAAAGGTAACCAGTGTTAAGATTTGGTTTATATTCTTTTACTTAAATACACACACACACACACACACACACACACACACAACAAAATGAGACATATTATTCTGCAATCTGTTTTTGTTCACTTAAAATTATGAATAGTTTTATGGGTTCATAAACTGGGTGGCTCAGTGCGTTAAGCCTCTGCCTTCGGCTCAGGTCATGATCTCAGGGTCCTGGGATTGAGCCCCGCATTGGGCTCTCTACTCTGCAGGGAGACTACTTCCCCCACCCCGCCCCTGCCTGTCTCTCTGGCTACTTGTGAGCTCTCTCTCTCTGTCAAATAAATAAATAAAAATCTTTAATAAAAAAATTATTAACAGTTTTGTGGATAGTATCGAATAAAGGAGAATTGAGAAGTACCAGATAATAAAATTTCTTATGATTTTCTTAGTAACATTTTTTTCTCTAGCTTACTTTAGTGTAAGAAAACAGTATGTTATTCATAAAACATACAAAATGTGTGTTCACAACTGTGTATGTCATCACTAAGGCTTCCAGTTAACAGTAGACTATTAATAGTTAAGTTTTTGGGGAATCAAGTTATACATGGATTTTCAACTGTATAGGGGAAGGAGGCAGGGGTTAGCACTCCTAACCCCTGCATTGTTCAGCACAGTTCAGTCAACTGTACTTGACTAAAAATGTACACTAAGGCATTATTACTTTTTAGAATTTTTACCTTTTAAGAAAAAGATTATTTGAGAGAGAATGAGACAGAAAAAGAGAGGGAAAGAGGGAGAGAGCGCAAGCAGGTGGAGGGACAGAGGGAGAGAATATCGAAGCAGACTTCCACTGGCAGGGCTCAATCCCACGGCCCATGAGATCAGGACCTGAGCCGAAACCAAAGGTCAGACATCCAACCAACTGAGCCACTGAGGTTCCCCTACCCTTTTTAGCATGTAAAAAAATCTTTATCTGTGCGTATCTGCAGTTGTGAAGTACTGCATTAATTTCATACTAATTATAGGAGTTAGAAATATGTATATTTGGTCAGTCTAGATCATGTGAATTTACAAATGCTAAATAAATAATTACTGCTGGCACAAAAGTATTAGTCATGTTTTTAATCATAATTATCTATGAGCCCACAAGTACTACAGACTTCGTAAGAGGTCAAACATAATTATGGATATTCCATAAGAAAAACAAACTTTAAAAGGCTGGTAAAATCAGCAGGTTCTACTCCAGATAAAGTTATTATGCTCTCATATCACTTTTCTGCTAGAAGTTCCTCTCCATCTTGGTGATTTATTATTCTGAATAACTGTAATTAAATAAAAGTAATATGGTATAACAGAATGTGAAGGGAAAGTTAGAAAATATTGAGAAATCTTAGATCATAAAGGATGTTTAAAATAAGATTATGAAACCTCCCATTTCTATCTCAAAGCTAGAAAATTTTTATTATCCTAATATTTTCCATTTTATTTGTAATACCTAATTATAAAGTTATTTTAGACAGCAAAGCCATAAAAATATTGACTTCTCTTCTCCCCAACTTGACCATAAACTCTGTGAAGACAGAAAAAGTTACTGTTACTGACTTTACCAAATAGACTTAAGTAAATCAGAAGATGGTTGTTATGAAGTACATAATACTACTACTCTTTCCCCTTCAATAAACTGTGACCTCATGAAACAAGAATCTCTATGAATGCCTTCCCAATTAAGGTAGGAACCTGTCTTATCTCCTATGTTCCACAATGCTTGGAACAATAGTGGGTCCTTGATAAATGTGTAAATAATAAAGTATATGACTTCCTTGCCCTCCTTTCCTTAGATTAAGCTAATTAGCACCAAATTACTGATGTTGGGTATCAATGGGCTTGGCATGTTCTGACTATTATTAACTCATCTAATCCTCACAACTTTATGATGTGGGTACTATTAGTATTTCCATCTTAAAAATGAAAAAAAAACAGACGGACAGGTCTTTAGGGGAGGCGGGACTTGAACCTCTCTATAGCCTACTTCTAGAACCTAGGCCTTCAATTTGTACTCTATCAATTATCAATCATTAATACTTGTATCCATGTATCCATGACTAGAGTAGGAAATTCTGCGGGATTTACAGAATATACTGGAAATTCTGTATTCTGTTACTCACTCAATAAAATGAGTATCCTCTTATGAGCTAGACATCATTCCAGGTTGTGGGAATACAGCAAAAAACAAAACAGGAAAACCCCTAACCTCTCAGAATACAAAGGAATAATTAAAACACAGTATGTTACAAGATGACAAATATAAGGGAGAGGAACTAAGTGGAAAGGGGGATAGAGAGTGTTGGGAAAGGGACTGCACTTTAAATACAGAGGTTAGAGAAGGCTTCAAGAAGCAAGTGTTGAGCACAGATTCAGGGAGATGAGAAAAAGAAGCCATGTAGTTATCTGAAGGAAAGTATTTCAAGGCAGGAAGAACAGTAAGTAAAAAGAATATGAATCACTGTTTCTCATGTCATGGCCAAGAAAAGATCTCTTTTAGAGATCTCTTCTTTTAGAATGAGACCTGACTATAATTTGATAGAGTTCAGTATTCCAACATGTCTTTGAAGAAGAAAAGGTGCAGACTCCAGCCCATATTGTAGCTCTGTGTGAACTGGAAAAAAGCAAGTCTGCCTCCAGGTGAATGCTTCCCTGTGTGAAGGCACACAGCTTGAAGACTGGAGCGTGGGCTGAATTTCAGACCCCACTCATTGCCTCAGCCAAGTGGCCTTGCACAGGGGACATCTTGCCTGGCGTTATGTAAAAGCCTTGACAGAGAGTTTCCTGTTCCAGGAAATAATTTGTCTTTTAATAAAAAAAAGGGCTACCTTGATACCAATTTCATTAAAGGAAAAAAAAGGAAGTGATGCTGAGGGAGAATCTAACTCTGAAAAGCATTATAATGAGGAAACAATTTCAAAAAATTTATAATCTTACAAATGAAGTACCTATAAAATCTTAACAAAAAGATTAGTGTATCTCTAGCTTAACTTCCTTTAGAAACTTCCATTAGAATTCAAGGAGTCATGTTTCTTAAAAATAAGATCTAAAACTAAAGAAAATTGGTGAGCCTTAACTGGACAACATAAAAAAGCTTCATGAACACCACTTCTCTTCTTAGTTTCCAAATATTTAATATGATAACACAATTAGATACTATTTTTGTAACAGTAGGAGGACAGGAAAAGTGTACCTTAAATGCATTTATTTCTTGTAATAGATTTATTATAACCAAATTAATTTGAACTCTCCCACATGAAATTAACTTTATGAAACCAAAAACTTCCCTGCAAAACGATTTGATCTATGTGTAATTTGTTTGGTTTCAAGCATTTTAAGGATGCTTCCCATAATGACTTGCCAATTAACTCTAGAAAAATGTCTTAACTGCAAGAAAAATGACCCCAAACACTCAGTAATCAAGAATACCTGATTACCAATTATTTGTCCAAGGTACAATCTTGAACATTTTAGAACAAAAAAAAAACAAAAACTCTCTGTATAGACTTTACAATTTTTATTTAGAGTACTCCATCTGTTTTGGTATTAAACTGAATACTTAGTTGTTTATTGTCACAATTGAAAATACTTCATGCTATTTTTTCACTGATAATACTTTAAGCTATTTAAAATGTAGCTCTGTGTTTTTAAAGACATACTATTACCTAGCATATCCAGTTCATAAAGAATAAAAATTTGGTTCTTTTATAAAGTCTTTTATAAACATTTTCTCTGACACTATTTAGGTTAAACAAATAATTCACTTCTAGTTGAAAGTCATTTGTCATTAAGATTCATGAGAGCCATCCAAATAGTGATTAAAAAAGCCGACTTAGCTCAAAGTCATATTATTTCTCTTTTTTCCTTCATAGTTCTGACTGGAGTTGAAAACATGCTACTGATTTAATATCTGATTCCAACAAATCTCTGTCATAAGTGTTAATTTGTATGTCCTGGTTTATAGTTTCTTAGCCTTGATGCTGGGAAATTACTAACAATAACTGAGAAAAAAATTCTAAGACACTAGGTTCACCTATGTGAAACTAAGGGTTATGACACAAACTGACAGGTCTCCATTACTGATTCTCAATCCATTTGCTTAAGGAATGATATGAGAACCATAGAGGCAGAATTTAAATGGTTATAAGCTCAGTAATAACTATAAGGACTTCCTAGCTCTATCAAAGCTAACATATACATTTATAAAGCATCCAAACAGAGAAGCTGTCTCGTGATTCTTTAATAGAGGAGAGCAATTTTGATAAACTGTCAATACTGTAAGCTGCTTGGACCACTGGTTTAGTTTCATTTCTATTAAGATAACAATTATGTTGGGGTGCCTGGGTGGCTCAGTGGGTTAAGTATCTGCCTTCGGCTCAGGTCATGGTCTCAGGGTCCTGGGATCGAGCCTGCTTCCCCTTCTCTCTGCCTGCCTGCCTTCTCTTTCTACCAAATAAATAAAAATAAAAATAGATTAAAATTATGCTAATTTAGAATCTTAAAATTGGAATCTAGATTTGCACTTAGCCCCTAACATCATCATTAACCATCTAAAGTTTATATTTATATATATAAATATGTATATTTCTATATATGTAAATATGCACACATTTATATATGTAGATATATATTTATATTTGCAGTATACTATGACTTCAGTATAAATACTACAATTCAGTAAAGTTCCATTTTTGTCATCTTTGTTAACTGATGTATCCTTGTGCCTAGCCCACAGGTATGCTCCATAAATATTTATTAAGCAGATGAATTTATTCTAAATCCAAACCAAACCAAAATACTGACAAAAAGATTTTGTTTTGCTATCTCAGTAAGAGATCCCTGTGCCTCCTGCCCTCTGTTATAAACTACTGTAACATATACATTGGCACATAAAATTTGTCATTGTAAGGTGAGCAAGAGAGACAACTAGACTTTAAACAAACTGCTATACCTACTTTGGGTGATAGTAACTATTTCTGGAGTTTCTACGCCTAAATAAGTTCTCCTGTTGCTCTTATGTGTTTAAACGTAGCTTTATTATAATGATTAGTAAAGATGAGTCTGTGAAGTGAGAGATAAATCTAATACTGGATTCTAATACTGGAACTCAATGACACCTAAGTGACCTTTACAAAACACAAAACTGACAATGTTGCCTCCTTCTTTAATGCGCTTCAGTAGCTCCCCCAGTGCCTCATACCTAGTAGGAGTACAGGTTCTGATATCAGAGTTTCTGCATTCCTTGTATGCTTTTTACTAGTGATGTGGCCTTGAGAAAGTTACTTAATCACTCCAATCTTCTCCAACTTTATTTGTAAAAGTAGGTAACAATACCTCAAAGAATTATAAGGATTAAATAAGATAATGCATTCAAAGCACCGTAGTAAGGAACTCAATGCTAACTAATGTTGTAATTATATAGAAGGAGTTCAACTCATAATGCTAAATAAGTTCTCCTTGACTTGACTAATGCTCGCTTAAACTTCTTCATTTGGCTTGCAACATGCTAAATGATCACATCTACAGTCAGTGGGCCAACGCTGCCAAATCCTCTTCTATAATCCTAGGCTACAACCATACTCACTGGCTTGCAGTTCCTAGCAAATACCCTCCAACAAGGTCAAGTATTTCCCCAACTTCTGAGGTCCAGCTCAAGCACCACTTTCTTTTCTAAGGGGCCTTTCCTGATCTACCTCTAAGCTTACTTTGCCAACTTACTTCCTTTTTTTTTTTTTAAGATTTTTATTTATTTATTAGACAGAGATCACAAGTAGGCAGAGAGAGAGGAAGGGAAGCAGGCTCCCTGCTGAGCAGAGAGCCCGTTGCGGGGCTCGATCCCAGGACCCTGGGATCATGACCTGAACCAAAGGCAGAGGTTTTAACCCACTGAGCCACCCAGGCGCCCCACCAACTTACTTTTTCCCCAAAGTACTCTGCATAACCTTGCCAACCTTTTTCAACTAAACTGTATGGTTTTTGAGAACAGGGCCCGGGTCACTTTTATCTCTGCATATCCCAAAGTACCCACACATTGTTCGGCACTATGTGGGAAGTCACCAATTACTTGTAGAATAAATAGTTGAATGTTTAGTCCATTTACCATTGTTTTTTCCCAAATTTTTCTCTAGAAATAACATTGAGAGAAGAAAAAGCAAATTTCCTCTTAAATCTAGGCCCTAAAGCAACCTGATTTAAATATAAAATTTTCTGAAGTTTTTGTGCAGTTTTGTATTTTCTGCTAAAATTCATGAGAACTGCATATTCTATTTCACAACAGGCCTGCATTTGTTTTAACCTGGGACTCCAAGCCCCCATGTCCCCAAGCTTAAGACTCACCAGTATAGAGATGGAGGGAAGTAAGCTATTAGCAGCACTGGAGAGGTGACGCACCATATGTCTAAGTCATTAGATGAAGGAGAAGGCTATGCTCTAGTTATAAAAAACTGCGGCTAAAACTAGCAGGAGAGGGGTGCCCGGGTGGCTCAGTCCCTTAAGCAGCTGCCTTTAGCTCAGATCTTGATCCTGATCCTGGAGTCTCAGGATCGAGCCCCGTTTCAGGGTCCCTGCTTGGTGGGGAGTCTGCTTGTCCCTCTCCCTCTACCCTAGCCCCCAGCTCTCTCTCTCTCTCTCTCAAATAAATAAATAAAATCTTTTTTAAAAAATTAAAAAAATAAAACTAGCAGGAGAAAAAATTGTAGAAGTGTCTGCTCACCAAAAGCAGCAGCAGAATCAGGATAGAATGGAGTAAGAGCAAGAACAGATTCTAAATAAACCCAGAATTCACAAAGAAAATGTTCTCAAAATCTGTGTATGAATGGAGCTTGAAAGACTAAAGGTCAGAACTTATTGAGATAATAAAAATATGTAGTTTCCGCATGCCTAAATGTAGAGAAACCACATCTACCCATGCAGGAAGGAGAAAATGGATAAATTCATTATGTTAAGCCAGAACATAATCTGAACATACGCTCAATACACTTAACTTCTTTGCAGAATTCTCTTCAGCTTTTTCACGCCCCTTCTCTCCCTCATTTTTACAGACCATCATCACACCGCTTCCTAGGCTTGGCTTTGTGTAGTTCCAAAGAGCCAAAATGTATCTGATATGCAGAAAAGACCTCTGGTCTGAGGATTTCTGTTTTTAAAGGTCACAGAAGTGTTTCTAGGCCCAAAAGCAAACAATGCTAGAAAACCTTATGTTACTACATCACTAACTTACAATATTAATTATGAGTAGGGGGAAAAAACTACTAATTCAGAATTTTTATATACTTCAGAAAAGTCACCTATGAAATTCTGAAAGTTAACTTGTTCCCTCCTTAAAGTTCTTTACACTTAACCTATAAAAGAAATACTCTAAACTATATTTTGATCCAAACTTCTTCTGTAAAGGGTCAGTAAGTATTTTAGGTTTTGTCAGAGAAGAGGCACAAACAAGTATACCATAGAGATCTCTGTTGCAACTACTTAACTCTGTTCTTACAGGGAATTTTCACATCCCTTGAGATATTATTTTTATTATTTTTCAACTATTTATAAGTATAAACTCACAGACCACATAAAAACACACGGCGGGCTAGATATAGCCCAAGGCATACTTTACCAATCTCTATTCTAGACTAAGACAGGCTTGAAAAGACAGCTCTATACTGACAGTATTACTAAGAAATAATTTCTTATTTTCAAGGAGAAATACACAAAAGGAAATTAAAAAACAGAATATACAACAGTATACACAGTATTAGCCTAGCATTTGGGAAAAAATGTGTGTGTGTTTATGTGTGTGCATGCAGGCAGACACATCTACTTATGTATAAGGTGTAAGAAGAATCAAAGTAACTAAAAACATGGACGATAATAAAGAGTAAGCTTTAGTTTCTTTTTTGGGGGGGTATTTAAATTCAAGTTAGTTAACATATAGTCTATCATTAATTTTGGGGTAGAATTTAGTGATTCATCACTTAACATTTAACACCCAGTGCTCATCGCATCAAGTGCCCTCCTTAATACCCATCAACTCCACTCCCCAACCGTCCACCTACCCTCAGTTTGTTCTCTAGATCTAAGAGTATCTTAAGGTTTGTCTCTCTGTTTTTAACCTTTTTATTTTTCCTTCCCTTCTCCTATGTTCATCAGTTTTGTTTCTTAAAATTTAGATTCTTTTCTATGTTTTTATTTTCCAAATCTTCTACAATGAACATGTAATACTTTTATAATTAGAAAAATATTAAATAGACCAAACGTCCTGATTTTTGACCTGAGCTGTTACAATTTAAAATAAAGTTTTTAGACACATACCTTTGAGGGTTCGCACCTGGTTCTGCTTGAGTACAGAGTTTAAGAAGTGAGGTGATAAAGAGCCACTGAAAAATAAAGACAAGATAAATATGCTTGTACAAATCTTTGTTTCACTTTTTATAGAACTTAGTCACAAATACAACCAATTTATACAATAAAAAACACAAACTATTTTTACCTTGTTTGCTTTGCTAATACTATTCAGTTTAGGAAGAGTCTGCCAAAGCAGAAAGAGCATTAGATCCAAGATTAAATCACAACTATTTGGACGTTCTTAGGCAAAATAATTAATTTCTTAGTTTCTTCATCTGTAAAATAGGAATAATTAAACCTCCCACATAGGGCTGCTGTGATGAATAATAATAATGCATTTAAAATGCCTGTAACAATAGACAATACATAATAGTTACTATTTGGTTTTGTATTGGATGCTTTTAAGTTTGATATGATATCATATAGGTCTTACCACAGAAATGAAAACGTTTATCAAAACAAGTATGTGAAGAGAATGTATGGTAATGATGCAAAACAGATAAAGTTCCTGATTTTATTAAGAAATATCAGTATCAAATTAAACTTGTTATAGTCATAAAGAGATTAGGACTTTAGGCTTTTTTTAAAAAAAGATTTTAGTTTTAAGCAATTTCTACACCCAGCATGGGGCTTGAACTCACAACCCTGAAATCAAGAGTCATATGCTCTTCTGACTGAGCTAGCCAGGTGTCCCGTTTTGGCTTTTTTTTTTTTTTCCATTCCAAAAATTAAATCATTTTTGGGACACACTACTTCTGTTCTTTGAAATTTGTGAAAGCATAAAAAATCTGTTTTGCTAACTAAATTATAAGTCTATTTTGCATTAATAGTTTTACAAATACTACATTTCATGCTTTTTCTCAATTTACCAATTATGACATGAAAGTGCTACACAAAGGTGTGTTAGATGGAACTATCATTTTGCCAAACAATGAAAAAGAGAAAATGTTTCCAGAAATATTAAGGCAATGTCTTAAAGTCAAAAATTATCTTTATCTGTCATTTATCTATCTATTTTTAAACCACAAAATCATTTTTATTTAACATATGATAAAGCTAAAAGATATAATCATGAAAATACAACTTATCAAAGGCACAGTGAAGTGCATATTTGATGGTATACAAGAGTGTCAATTCCCTCATTTAATCTTTAAAAAAAAGTATAGCTAAATAAAACACATAAATGACAATAAGCAGAACTTACCATTAGTTTCTAAATTTTTTTAAACTGTTTTTTAAACTAGGATATCTCACAAGCACCAACATTAACTGATAAAGAAGATACCAAGTTTCAAACAATGAAGATACAAACTCTGATAAGTTTTCTAGGTTTCATTTCATAAAGATAAACCACTCAATCATTCTTGTGACAATAATCCTTCCAATCTAACAGTAAACAAGCTTAAGATCTCACTGAGTAGATATATATTATTAATTTCAACTTTAGCCTAATTTATTGTATTTCAGCTACAGACACTCCACTTAAAGTTATTTAATAGCAACTTTATTATTATTATTAACTAAGTTATTTAATAATAGTTTAAGAAATTAAACACTGTATGGAAATATTAATAATTATTGCAGTTGAAGAGTTCGTTATAGTTTTCTCCCTCCTTTTGTGTATGTTTGAAATTCTCCATCTAGTATTCTATTTAAAAGCTTTTTAACCATTATAAGGCCACCCTCAAAAGTATCTCAACAAAATCTGGCATTTTCAAATGAATTTACATAAGAGGATTAAAAAAAAAAGATTCTGAAGGCTTTTTAGGAAATGGAAACAAAACCAGATTTGAAGTATTTTCAGCTTTCACTTAAAATGGGAAAGCTGTAAGATCAATAGGAGTCACTGAGTTTGAAAACAAGAGTTAAGGAAATACATTACAATATTTACCAGCAGAAACAAAACAAATAAAAAAGTCAAAGCATTATTTTACTTGTCAGACATTTTAAAATTTGAGACTGTGAACATAATTTTCAAATATTTAATGTGCTGTGAAAGAAAACCAACTTAAAATAGAAAAAGGAGGGCGCCTGGGTGGCTCAGTGGCTTAAGCCTCTGCCTTCAGCTCAGGTCATGATCTGAGTCCTGGGATCGAGGCTGGCATTGGGGCTCTCTGCTCAGCAGCGAGCCTGTTTCCCCTCTCTGTCTGTCTCCCTACTCGTGACCTCTCTCTGTCAAATAAATAAATAAAATCTTAAAAAAAAAAAAAAAAGAAAAAGGAATAAATACATACATAAAAATGTTATAAAGACAAACTTAATCATCTTATTTTAAAAAGTTCAAATATACTTTTAATTTCCCATTTCATTAGTCTGCATTAGTACTGTAGGCAATTAAAATAATTTAAACCTTTTGTACCGGAAATCATTATTATAACTTTCTTTAGGGTTTACTTATAATATACTCAGGAGTGACTATATTTCCCAAAATTTATGTTCTCACCTATCAAATATCCTGTTTCCTAATAACACAAGTTAAGACTATAAGTTAAAATGCCTTAGGCTAATTTCTTACCCATAAATTATTCTCAATGCAATAAACCCCTCCTCCCCCAAACCATACAACTTTGTTAGGTTTTTCCATGTCATACAATGAAATCCTTTAAGTCACCACTGACACTTATATAGAAGATCCTGTACCTTTGTGGAGATGCAGGAGGGGTGTAAAATGTCAATGCTGAGGAAAAAGGTTGCTTCTTCAGTGCCTGCATAAGGTTGGGTTTATATTCTGGATCAACACACCATAAGGAACCTTTCCCATTAACCTAAAATAAAATACACAAGAATTATTAACCTGCAACTTTAAGACATACACAATCAGTGCCTGAATGTTTTTACTAAATGTGTGTGGGGAAAAAAGAACCCTACAGTACCCTTTTGAGTACAATGCAAAGGTTGAATTAAGACTGCTGTAGGGGCGCCTGGGTGGCTCAGTGGTTTAAAGCCTCTGCCTTCGGCTCAGGTCGTGATCTCAGGGTCCTGGGATCAAGCCCTGCTTGGGGAATCTCTGCTCAGCAGGGAGCCTGCTTCCCCCCTCTCTCTCTGCCTACTTGTGAACTCTGTCAAATAACTAAGTAAAAATCTTTTTAAAAAAGGGGTGGGTGGGTGCCTGGGTGGCTCAGTCGGTTAAGCAGCTGCCTTCAGCTCATATCATGATCCCGGATTCCTGGGATCCTGGGATCCTGGGCTCGAGCCCCACATCAGGCTCCCTGTTCAGTGCACAGCCTGCTTCTCCCTCTCTCTCTGCCTGCTGCTCTGCCTACCTGTGCTCTCTGTGTCAAATAAATAAATAAAATCTTTAAAAAAAAAAAAAAAAAAAGACAGACTGCGGTAAATACATTGTAGTTCAAAGGCCCTGGAAGCAGCTACCTGGGTTCTTATCTCCAGCTCTGTTATTTACCTATTGTGTGATCTTGAAAGTTAATCAACCTCTATCTCTCCAGGCCATTACTCCTTCTTCTGGAAAGCAGGAATGATAACACTACCTATCTCACAGGGCTGTCATGTGGATTAAATTATGCCTAAAGCACTCTGCATGGTGCCTGGCACATAGGGCCACAGAACATGCCAACCACTTCATAGTCTGTGAGAATGGTACAACCTCAAGATGTACAGTGAACAGCATGGAGAGCTGTACAATGTGGTCTTCCACATAGTAAAATGTAACAAATACAGCCAATAGTGTTACTGTTATAGAAAAACCAGAAAGAAAAGGAAAAATTAAGCTTTCTATGCAGCAGCATTTCCCCTAAAGTGATAAGCAGTATGAGATCAAGCGATATACCAAAAAACAATTTTTTTTTTTAATGGCATTAACAGTACTGCTTAAGTTCTCATTTAAGGTTAAGTTTAATTTTCAAAAGCAAATGATTTCAAGGGCTCCTGGGTGACTCAGTAAGTTAAACAACCAACTCTTGATTTAAGCTTGGGTGTGGAACTCAGGGTTGTGGGACTGAGTCCAGCACCCAGCTCTGTACTAGGTGCAAGTCTGCTAGAGATTCTCTCCCTTTCCCCTCTGCCCCTCCCTGTGCTCAGTCGCTCATGCACTCTCTCTCTAAATGAATAAATAAACTCTTAAAAAAAAAGGCAAATGGTTTCATGAAAAGCATAGCAAACGTCTCAAAGAGGGGTAAATCAACAACTGAGGTATGGAAAAAGGCTCCTGTAAAAGATAACAAAGAGGAAGGAAGAATCTTTGTGTAAGATGATTAAGTTACAACATTTGAGAGACTTTTAGATAATATGGCAATGAGCACACAAACCCAGATTCCACTGAAATAATCAACAGAATCTAAAAATTATGGAATTTTTATGATTTTAGAAACTAGAGAAACCGTTAACGAAAGTGCCTGCTTGGGGTGCCTGGGTGGCTCAGGTGGATGAGTATCTGCCTTCGGCTCAGGTCCTGATCCTGTGGTCCTGGGATCCAGGCCCATGTCTGGCTCCCTGCCCAGTGGGGAGCCCGCTTCTCCCTCTCCTCCCAGCTCCTGGTCCCTCTTGCTATCCCTGTCTCTCCCCCCGCTCAACTAAATAAATAAAATCTTAAGTTAAAGAAAAAAAAAAAATGCCTGCTAAATTTCAAATGGAAGGGGCCTGAAAGAACGGCTTATGTGATCCACGGTTTCCTCACTAGGAAGGAACAGCAAGTGGACAAGATACATGGAAAACTTCACTAGTATTATCTAACACGCAGGGAAGAAGGCTAGGTTATGAGCTACTAACTCCTTCAAATAGGTTTGAAAAACGCTACACATTTTACTTCCCCTTCTTCTTAGAAGGTCACACTACCTACCAGCAGGTTAAGGGATCTAAATAGTCTTGCTATCATTATACCTGTTTTATATGGTTTCCTAAAGTTATCTGATCAGAACCTCCTTCTCCCAGGTAGTATTTGAGGAAGCTAGTGTTCTGTGGAACACTTATGAGAAAAACTGATGTAATTAATCAATTCTGGTAGAATATACTTTCCCAATATTAATGGAAAAAGCTACAAACATTGATTAGGCCATGAAGAAAAATAAATTCCCTCTTAAAGTTCACAATTTTAAGACTCCAGTGCAAAAAAAAACAAACAAACAAAAAACAAACCCCAACAACAAAATTCTATGACCACTTGGAAATTTATAATTCTCTTAGATTAAAAAGATATCCAAACTACAATTATAGATTATCTGGTAAATAAAGGGTATAAACAGTTATATGAAAACTAAGAGAATGTAGCCAAAGGCAAATTTATATCCACTTTCATTCATTTTTTAAAACTTATTTATTTGGGGGGGGGGGGTGCACACGTGTGCACGAGGGGGAGAGGGAGAGAGAATCTCAAGCAGACTCTATGCTGGGTGTGGAGCCCTCCTGGTGGCTCCATCTTACGACCCTGAGACTTTGACCTCAGCTGAAACCAAGAGTCAAGACACTTAAAAACTGAGCCACCCAGGTGTCCCTATCCATTTTCATTCTTAAACAACTGAAATATCTGAAATAAGCTTTTAGCATATCTGGAGAAGGGGAGAGAGAAAATTAGGGGGGAGAGAAAATTATATAATTTATATAATGTAAATATATCATATGAAAAATGATAAGTTGTTAAACTGGAAATCAGGTGGGGTGCCTGGGTGTCTCAGTGGGTTAAAGTCTCTGCCTTCGGCTCAGGCCATGATCTCAGGGTCCTGGGATCGAGCCCTGCTTGGGGCTCTCTGCTCAGCAGGGAGCCTGTTTCTCCCCCTCTCTCTGCCTGCCTCTCTGCCTACTTGTGATCTCTCTCTGTCAAATAAATAAATAAAATCTTAAAAAATAAATAAATAAACTGGAAATCAGGAAAAGAATGGAACTGAGAAATCAAGAGAGTATTCTTAAAAAAACCATCAATATGTTACACACCCTAGTTGAGGTAGTCAAAGGAAATGACTGAAGAACTTTAGGAGCTGTGATACCTATCACCTGCTAACTCTTTCTTCCTTCAGGATAAACCTTTTCTACTTCCTTAGCTGAACATCCTTAACTGCACATCTTGAAAAGAAGCTGGACTATAAGTATATCCTAGCACATGTACCACATCCATACACAGCCTACATACAGAACTCCACAGCCATGCAAGGAAATCCAAACTCAATCTCTTCTCACTTCTCCAGAGCTAAACACTACTTGTACAGTGGTTAAGAGGGTGAACCTAAAAGCATTTTTGCCTCCTTGGGAATCCTAGCTGTCACTTAAGAGCTGTGTAATCTTCAGAAAAATGTGTTTGTTTCCTACGTATTAGTATACTCAAAATAGAACTATATTAAAAATAGTACCTACTTCACTTTAAGAATTACTATATTATAAGAGTTAATTCACATAAAGTGCTTAGAGCACTGACAGACAATAAACACTCAATAAACATTGGCTGCTGCTGTTGATATATGTTCATTTTCTTTGTAGTTTCAAAAACAGTTCCTGTTTCCTCCAGTCTAATAGCATGCAAATTTGTTTTTCTGTTTCTATTCCACCAGATATTGGCATTACATTTTAACAAATATTTCTGAAGATTTTTTTTCTTTTTCTCTACAAATACTAAAAACCAACTATAAGGTATAACTTTCCTCCTCTCCCACCATGTGATGTACAAAACTTCCTCAGAACTCGTAAGATTAGTGAGATCCAAACTGTTAATTTTTGTTTTATATTATACTTTTTCTACTTCAAAAATCCTTTCTTAAAATTTTAATAACACTTCATGATTCATTAAGAATTACTTGGACAACAATAAAATTTATGTGTGTTCTATTTCTCTGGTTCCTTTTTGTTCATATAAAATTCTATGCGATGTAAAAGCTATTATGATGGCTTAAGTTTAACGTGATGAATTTGAGTGCTTCCATTTCCCAAACTCTTTTTCAAGGCAATATTATTCTATTACTGAGGCTCTTTTATCTTCTGAACATCATGTCATAGTTATTACAGCACAATGGCATAATATAAGAATATTTCCACTGGTATAAAAACAGGTCCTAATCATTGCTTATGTGATACTGGACAAATCATGTAATCTGTAAGAGTCAGTGTTCTTATTCATATTCTATTCGTAAAATTAAAAAAAAAAAGTCCACTTCATTGAGTTTTGATTAGATTCAAATAAGGTAATTCTGGACACCTGGGTGGCTCAGTCAGTTAAGTGCATGCCTTTGGTTCAGGTCATAATCCCAGGATCCCGGGATTCCAGGACCCTAGGATCACAGGATAGAGCCAAGCATTAGGCTTCTTGCTCAGCAGGGAACCTACTTCTTCCTCTCCTCCCTGCCACTCCCCCTGCTTGTGCACACTCTCTCTGTCAAATAAATAAATAAAATCTTTAAACAAGAACAACAAAAATAAGGTAATTTATGTGTAAGTGATATAGAGCTGCAAAATAAATGGATACTTGCCTATTTCTGGGGGTTATTCTGAAATTGGCATAAGGTTAGAGTTTACATGTTCTTTTTTTTAAGATTTTATTATTTGACAGAGAGAGAGAGTGAACAAGAGATTGAACACGAGCACAGAGAGAGAGAGAAGCAGGCTCCTGGATGAACAGGCAGCCTGACATGGGGCTCCATCCCAGGACCCAGGGATCATAACCTGAGCCAAAGGCAGACACTTAACCGACTGAGCCACCCAGGTCCCCGTTGTCGGTTTTTTGTTGTTGTTGTTTTGTAGTTTTTTGTTTTGTTTTGCTTTTTTTAAAGATTTATTCAGAGAGAGCTCAAGTGAGTAAGTGGGGAGGGGGCAGAGGAGAGAGAATCCTGAA